AAACAATGAGTAAAAATAATTGCCAAAGAGCTCTGCAGAAATAGAAGGCGGGAATAGGCCAGAAAAGCTCAAATCGCCTTCCTGGCAGCACAAGCCACTTGCTTTGCAATTCCGGGGACATTTTCTAAACTCCCCATTCCTCAGTTTCCCCTTAGAGAAGACTTTAGACTATTAGCCCCCTACCAAAATAAAATTCATTTTTCCCGAGGAAAAGAAACCTCCTTATAGAACAAGAGAATTGCCAAAATCTAGTCCTATCAGCCAACTTCCACCAGGCCTTGGAATTCGCAGCAAATAGCTGGTTTTGCAATTCTTTTGGCTTTGCCAACCCTCCAGGGTAAAAAATAATCTCCCCACAAGGATCCAAAGCTCGCAAGTAGAGGAAATCTTTGAGAAAATCTGGGTTGATGAGCAGCTAAGAAAAGCCAGGAGGGAAGAGACACATCTATATATGTTTGTGCAGAAAATAGAAAAGGTTGAAAAGCAATGTGTTTCTAAAATATTGCTTCTGGGAAACCAACCTTCTGTCGCTCCTATACTCCTTGGGTAACTGGAAAAGGCAGGGTGATTCCCCAACTCCTATTCACAGCCTCCTCAGCTCTGGCTGCAAAACGCAGTGGTGTGCAACTCCGACAGGCAGGCCTGGGTTCGAATCCCTGTCACTTCATCAGCTGACACTGGGCCGGGCACACCACTTCTCTTCACTTCACTGTTGCCCCTGGGAGGGTGGGTGGCAGTATTGCACTTGAGGAATTGGTGGCAGAATTATAAGTTTTGAAAATAAAATGTGTGCCAGCTAGTGGGTTCCTGACAGGTGGCAGCTAGTTCTTATAGCAGGCACTGCACTGCAGTGATCAAGAGAGCTAGCCTGGCTTGGTGGCCCATGTCTGGAATCCCAGCCCTCTGGGAGGCTGAAGCAGGAAGATCGCATGTTCCAGCCCAGCTTGGGAAACTTAATGAGACCCCATCTCAAAATGAATAAAAAAGAGTTGAGGATAAAGCTGAGTTCAAATGTAAAGGCCCTGAGTTCAATCCTCAGTAGAAAGAAAAAGACAGAGACAGAGACGGGGAAAGAGAGAGAATATCAAGACAGCTTCTTTACTTAACAAACTTTTAAAAAAAATGTGCCTGTACATTTACCAAATTAGAGTCTGAGTTTATTGGATAAAGCAGAGAAGCAATGGGCTAGGTGGTGGGGTGACAAAGGGGAGGACAGTTCCTAGGGTCCTTGGCCTCCTGGAGCTCAAACACCAGGGAAGAATACTGTTACTGTTATTTACACCGTGACTGAGGACGTATATGATTGCCCACTGTGATAAATGTCACAAAGGGAAAATGCAGTGTATTCAGAAAGCACCTCAGGGACTTGTTCTAGTGAAGAAGCTCATAGGCCCGGATGGGAAAAACCAGCTGCAAACGTAAAAGACTAACTAGCTCTGGTGGGGACCAGAGTCCAGCCGTCGGACCAGCACATAGCCTGACATGGCCCCTTTTGCAAAGCAAAAGGAAGGCCAGAAAGTGAGGTTCAAAAAAGGGACAATGAGGAGAAGGGGCACAAGGCTGAGGGCTGGCAGACCTCGCCCTAAGGCCTCTGAAGTGGGGACACCTTCAAGGCAAAGGGGGACTTTCAGGTCTACAGTGTAAATCTGCAGTCCTTACCTCCTCTGTACCCCTTGTTCAAGGAGCACCTCTGGGCCCCAAGCCACATAAGATGAATAGCAATATTTTCAGGATTAGAAGACATTTCAAAAACAGCAGGCATATGCATACCTGTTGGGGGGGGTTCAAATACCTAAATGTATGAATGTGCACACGCATGTCTTCTTCACTCACCACCTTGGGACACATCTCCCATCACTCCTAAGCCATGATCTGTTCAGATCCTAGGATTTCCACAGACAACCACAACCCCATTTCCCATCTCACATGCCCTTCCGATTGTCTGATCCTACACTCCTCCATGACACAGTGGCGGTTGTGTGTGTCCAGGCTGTGGACCTGAGTTGGCGTTTATCATTGCCTTGACCAGGAAAGAACAGAGGAAATGGCACCGTGAGGCTTCTGAGGCTAGGACATAAAAACACCGTGCCCTTGTCCCTCGTTCTCTCAGGACTCTTGCTCTCAGAACCCAGCTGCCATGCTCTGAGGAAGTTCAAACTGAGCCACATGGACAGACCACGTGGACAGACCATGTGGAGAGGCCACGTGTTGGTCTGGGCCAACAGCCATCTCAACCCCAGACGTGGGAGTAATGTTGCCTTGGATGATTCTGGATCCAGCTGTCAAGACGCCCAGCCTGCAGCCTTTCCAGCTGAGGCCCCTGACATAATACAGGAGAGCAAACCCACCACCACGACACCCCTCCAAGTGCCTGACCAAAGCACCCACAAGCAAAAGTTAATGGACGTTTTATACCATTAAGCTTGGGGGTGACTTGTTACACAGCAATAGTAACTAGGACAGAAAACACCACATATAAGAGTATGTGTGCCTGTGCGAGTATTTCCTTTCTTAGTTACTGTTCACCCTCCTGAGGCCTGCTAGAGAGGATGTCTGGAATTCCTCCTGAGTTAGAACCCCTAGCCTCCATCTGCACCACTTCCAGAGAAAGATGGCCAGATAGTTTATATCACAGAAAAATTAAACACTTTAAACCACTCAAAACATACAAAAACAATCCATTCTCATTGAAAAAATAAAAGAATACCCTCATTAGCAAATCCAGCACCCTATTTCAACTGGCTCTGAAAACAGAGATCAAAAATGAGATCTTCAACCGCAACAACTGAACAGGGCCCCTGGGGCTCATCTTTGTCCAATGCTGAAGGCTCACACTCTGAGAAACAGCACTTGTAGAGAAAATAAAGCAGTGCAAATGAGGTGTAATTAGCACAGTGCCAGGCACTAAAGAGCCCACCAAATTCTAGTTATTATTGCTGCTTCTGTTGATGTCAGAAGTAAGATTTTTCTTGATTCCAGCACTAACCCTTTCTGACCTAAATTAAACAACCCTCACATTCCATCTCAGCAGAAAAAGTCAGTACAGATTCTTTCCTATACAGCAAGCAAACAAATACTGAAAAATCTTTTCTGTATATAACCAAATCTGAGTTTGGTTAGAAGCCAAGAAAGGGATTTCCGATTCCATATGATTACAAATGCTAGACAATGTTATATAACATAACTGTCATACATCTCTATTTGGTTTGGTAAAAGAACTGTCCTTTTTATAGGAAGAAAGAAAAAGAGGGGGAGAGAGAGAGAGAAAAGAAAGAAAGAAAAAAGAAAGAAAGAAAGAAAGAAGAAAGAAAGAAAGAAAGAAAGAAAGAAAGAAAGAAAGAAAGAAAAAGAAAGGGAGGGAGGGAGGGAAGGACTGAAGGAAGGAAGGAAAGGAAGGGAGGGAGGGAGGAAAGGAAGATCGATTATGGGTTAGAAAACAAGCTCCTGAGATGTTGTCTTCAATAATAACTGCATGGCTTTTAAGACAAATAAATAAGAATGTTACCTCTGGTCATCACGCAGGTACCCTCTGGGATTATATAAATATTACAAAGCTGCACCCAAATGGTGGCACAAATACCAAGAATCAGAGGTGGAAACAAAGAACCTAACCTCAGGTTGGTTTTTTCCTCCACTCCTCAATTGCTGTATGACTTTAAGCCAAACGCTCAGCCTCTCTCCCTCACAAAGTCTTGAAAACAAGGCTAAATTCAAAACTTTTTCCCAGACTGAAAGGACCACTAAGTTCAGTGGCCCCCAAGGTTCCAGAGTAAGAGACACTACTCGAGCGTTTATGCATGCTGTAAGCTGAATAACTATTTCCCAAGCAGAAATGTCATCGTTTGCAGATTCACATGCATTAATCTGTTAAAAATTATCTTGAAAGCTGGCCTGGCTGCAAAATGCTGATGTGCATAATGTGTCGAAATCATACATCTCCAACAGAAGAAAAGATGATTACAGAGTGTCATGTTGGGGAAACTGAGGCTGACGGGCTTCCTCCTTAGCACCCTCGGCTTTTCCCGATTAGACTTTCAGGTGTTGGCCAGGGGTTTTCCTACACCCGGCATGGATGGGAAGAGGAAGGCCAGGAGGAAGAGGCTATAAATGGGAGCTGTAGGGATGGAAGGAAAGGTCTATGCTATGGAATTAAGCTGAGCAAGGTACCTGAACAGAAATGTCACTGCCAGGGAAACCATTTCAAAATGATAGCCCAGTGACCAGGCTGCAAGTTTGCGGAGTGCCTGACACCGCGCCCCCGGGAGCCCATCTTCCCAGAAGGGGGCAGGTAGTCCTCTGTCATTGACTGACCTCACTGGTGGGTGACCCTCTCCAACCAGAAAAACGTCTTTTATATCCCAGAAAGTGGTGGAAGCCCTGTGACTCGGAGCCCAGCGTACTGGAAAAATGGCCCCCGCCAGAGGTGGCAGGCACTGTCCACTGTGGGGCTCCTCCGCTCCAGAAAACTGAGAGCCCTCTTAGGAAGCCTCCACCAGCGGCCAGCTGCCTGGCAGGTCCAAGTGTGCCCTTGGAGTAAGGTCCCGCTTCGCCACCCAGGCAGGGCCCCCTCCTATAGCCCTATGCCAGAGCTTGGGGGACTCAGAGCCCTGGAGACAGAGGGGAGCCCAGGGTTTCGCTGAGGACCGACACTGCCTCTGTCTTATTACCATATATGATGAAGTCTGTCAAGAGAACTGGGAAGACCTGAATGACCCTCCGTTAAAGCTCAGCAACGGCCAGTGTGAGGGGATCCCTTTTCTGATTGATGGCACCTTGAAATATGTCACCATCACGATCCAAACGCTTCTGTTCTACATATCACAACACCTTGCGCCGGAGCGATGTCCGTCCTAACACCACAGCACACCACCGTGGACACAGCTGTTTCCCCACAAACCCTGGCTCTTTGGAGGGCCAGATAGAAAACCATTTTACAAGTCTTCCCTTGGCTCTTTTAGACAGCGGCGCCCTGAGTCTGAATTGATTTTAGCGGACAACTGTTCTGAACACATTTCTGCACAAGGTTTATTTCAGCTCCGGAAAGGCCAAGGGCAAAGATAAGACCCCAGTGTGTGTGAAAGCAAGGAGGCGACCCGGCACTCAGCGGACGAACGCAGAGACCGAGTGGCGAGTGCCAGGTGGCCCGGTCCCAGTCATTCTGTGCTCAGCAGCGAGTCCACCCCGAGCGCCGGGCACGCGGTCCAGGTCTTCCCAGCGCTCGCGCGGGCAGTTTCAGAACAAGCCCATGCTAAACCCCGGCTGCCCCGGCTCACACTTTTTTCCCATCCGAAGTTCCCCAGGACACCTGTTCAGGTAAGGCAGGGGCAAGAGTTTTCTAAGCCTCCCACCTTGCTTGTTCCACAGGAACAACACATGGGAACAAGGTGTCGCCCAGTCACCAGCCCTGCCAGCCCTTCGCACCGGAGCGCACAGGTGGTTACCTGCACGGTGCTGCTGCTGAGCGGCACAACTTCACTCCTGGCCATGGGGGGCTGGTGTTAGCGAAGTGTCCCCAGCACTATCACCTCAGGTCCCTCCAGCCTACGGGAAAGGGGGACCCAAGCAGAGGCGGAGACAGGTAGAGGTTCCCAGGGCGGCCGGGCGCCCAAGCCCGCCCACTTCTGCTCTCGGGGCTCCTCCTCCGACCCGCGAGGGCACCGGGGCACAGGGTCTCCGCGCCAGCCCAGCCCCGATGTGGCCCCGCAGCTCTGCAACCCCCAGCCCTGCACGGCGCACACTCACCCTTCCGCTCCCTCAAGCTCGACAGCGACCAGAGCAGCAGCGCCACCGAGGCCAGGAAGCACAGCTGGCTCAGCAGAAGGTCCCCCCGGCGGCGGCGGCGACCCAGGCGCGCGCGGTCCTCGTCGCCTGGCGGCATCCTCCTCCTCCTGCTGCTCCA